CGGTTTCATCTCCCGGTCCCTTATCTTGTACAACGGAGGAACTTTCGGCATCAAAGTTTCTCATCCGGTTTCACTGTCCTCAGACTGGCTCCGTTTCAGCGCTTTAAAAAGCACTCCCCAGGTGGCTGCCAGGCTACACACGCTGATATCTCCGTTAATGAATTCCGACTATAAATGGTTCTCTATTGACAGCCAAAGTTCGAGATCAAAGGCATTGTCCATAGTTATATCAAAACCTTGCTCTTTAACCCACTGAAATAAAGCACGCATGGCATCTTCAGAAACACTGAGTCCCATGCGGGGCAGGGCATCCTGCCATGCAAGGTAGGCAAGCTGTTCATCAGCTGAAGTACAGTTCCCCATTATGAGGACTTTATCTTGGCGGCTCCGCGAATGCAATTATGCACACGCTATCGGCTCAGACCCGGGAATTTTGAGCTCTGCTTCGCCAAGACAGCCGTTCCAAGCCCGCTCACTGGCAGGGCTCCACTATCCCGTTGGTTTCCAGAACCAGCTTCCTCTAGGAAAGCCCGGGAGAATTCCACTTACCCCTCTAGGGGGAAGGGCTGGCTTTTTCCCGCTCACTGCTTACCCTCAGGGGATTAGCAGAAGTCACGTCGGTTGCTTTCTGACCTCGGGGGTCGGCTGCACTTCACGTCGGGTTACCGGACCTCAGGGGTCGGTTCAACATCACGTCGGGGTCACCAGATGTCGTTCCGATTGGGAACGGCTAGGAAGAACGACACTGGACTCTCAAGGGAGTCACAACACGAGAATTCCTTAGTTTATTGCTTCAGCCCTGTCTTATAGACAGATACGTGGAAAGTACAGAAAAGAAACTCTTATTGGTTAGCAAAGTGCTACATTACCATCATTGGTCAGGGGCACTCTGCCCCCCTGACTCTCTCCTGCAAGGAGAAACGAGAGGCTGCAAAACAACACCTGCAAGGCTGTTTAGTGTCCCTGAGAATTGTTTTAATTCCTTCTCATATTTTTCCCAGGATACTTTCTCAGGCAGCCTGAGGAGCCATGCGGCCTGCAATTTGTACAGGCACTGTGGTTCAGATTTAGCATCCATAGGCCCATGCTGCTATGCCCTGGTTTATGCCTCTACCAAGTAGGCCGCACAGTATTCACAGCTTCAGCTTCCCTGACTTCGTGAAGAGCAATGTCAGGCCTCTGTGGACATCCTCTTTCCACAAGCATAAGAATAGAGAGTGAAAGACAGAAATCCTGTCACATAATCCTCAAAAACTTGGCAGAGGTCTGGAGAAATAAATTTAAAGTAAACTAAAGAACATAAGCAAAAAATCTTCACAGCTATCCAGAAATAAAATTGAAGGGAGAGGGTCATCAGTATGGCTAAGAAAAAGTCTGTGAAAACTACAAGAGACAAGAAAGGCAGATAGACAGATAAACAACAGCTGCAGGAAACTACATGAGTTTGTTTAATCATCTACCTATTGTTCACAGTGGAAGGAGGGTAAAAATTTTTCTGGGAACTCCCTTCAGGTAACCAAGGCATAGCTGTGGCATGAAATGAGCTCTCTGAGGAAGAAGTGATGGAGCAAGTAGAGAGACCTATTAGTCATCACTCCTCAGGGCTTGATCTTGTTCTTCTGAGAAATGAGAATGAAGTGGAAACAAAGAAAGTAGCTGAGCTAACAGAAGTGCTGATTATCAGTGCAAGGTGTGTGACAGAGCCCTAATGCGTGTTTGTGTTCTGACTCCTGTCATTCCAAAGGAAATTTACACAGTGTATTTCAGCCCAAAGGAAAATTTTTAGATTAAATTTGTTAAAGGCAGGTTCATAGGCTGTACAGAGGCAGCTAAACAGAGAGAAGTTATGGGTATGCTACTACTGCTCCTAATAATGTTCCTACAAATAATGGCATGTAGGATGCCAAGTTATTTTTAGTCTAGAAAGCAAGGATAATACTAGGGAATTTGTTGACATTGAGTCTCTTCTTCTCCTGATGCTTCTCCCTGGCCTCCTTATGGCATATTGAGATATTTGTAGGAAAGGAAAATCTGTTGGTGATATTTGTGCCATAGAACAGGCAATTAATTCATTCTTACTAATTACCTTTGCTGAGACAATTTCAAATGTTAGCATTCTTGAAACTATCATCCTTTTAAAAAAATGCCAGTTACTCATGTTTGTGGCCTCCTGCTGCAGCAAAACTCAGCCACTGACTGTGTCCCTGGGAGGGACATCCTCATGGTGTCCCAGGCTGGCAGCTCCCCACTCTCTCACCTCCCCAGTGGAGGGTCAGCAGCCAGCCAGGCTATGCACAGCTCTTCCTTACCCAAAAGGAGAAGGATTTGGAGCCAACCTGCTGAGTTGCTGTGCTTTTGAGATCCCTGCCCTGTTAAAAAGGACCCTGAAGAAGCGGCAAAGGCTTCAGATTGCTCCTATTTTAACTCAAAACCATCAGGAAATCAAAGAAGTTAAAGTGTGGTTACAATAAAGCCCTAAAATTGACCTTAATGAGTTTAGATGGACTTCTCCCTAAGCATTCCTCAGTGGCTCTTTAATATAAGGTTGTTCTGGGCAAGATAATAATCACTAAAACTGTTCAGATCCTTGAAATTAAATGGATTAGCTGATCTTAACAAACAATTTACCTCTGTTTCTTAAGCCATATTTTATGGGCAAGTTAATATAAACTAATATTCATCGGTGCTCTTCGTCCAAACAATATGTGCTTTTACCTCATTCCTACCATTAGATCAACCATGTAAACAGAACTCGGCTGTAGTATAGAGCAGGCAAGCAACAGCCTGAATCCTAGGTGAATGTCCATGGCTGAACACTTGTGCCTGACTCATAGCACAAATCAGCTCACTGTTGAAACAGCTATAAAACCAATTAACTACAACTATGCTGAGTTAAAACAGCAAAATGCAGAGGAACTTTGGATTTGTTATAAACAAGCTAAGATTTGAAAGGTTATTTCTGCCACAAACTGTTTCATAATTTCTACTTAAAATGCTTTTTCCTCAGGTGATTTCTACTGAGCAATCTTGCCCTTTCTTGTTTGGCAAGCACTGGTTCCCTCAACTCCCACCCATTTTGTACAAAGCAAAATTTAACATCTCTTTATGGGCAGAGCAAAAAAATATTTATCCAGGCATTTATTAACCAGGGAAGTCTTACATGCTCAGATTTGTCTTCTTTTGTAATACACGCTTCAATCTATAACCAAACTTCCACCCAAGTAGTCCTCTGATAGTGGAGGTGCAAATGGTGTCCTGATTACTGACAAGCAGATACAGCTGTCTCCATATACATTGAGAAGTGATGCTTAATGATATTTCTACCCTGTGGACCACTGAAGACTATTTTTCCAAGATACCAAGTAATGTGAGAAAACCCCACCTTAAACCCACTGTCCATAGACTTAAATTCAGCATTCAGGTTTCCAGATCTTGATATTGTCCACAAAATGTTGAAATCTTCTGATGAATTTGAAGAATAGTGAAGGAGAGTAATTAGCCACCACAGGCTATCACCGTGACAAACTGAAGAAGCATGAGTAATTTTTGACAATGGTGAGACCAGGAACCTGCTGTTATCTAAATGTGGCCTCTTTGCAATGTTTCCATCTTGCAGAGAAGTTGTTACTTTCAACCACTTCCTGGAAGAAGCAGCAGAAAAAGAAGTGCGGGGGAAAGCCAGGCTCCAGCACTTCATTGAAAATTTGTTGCAGCGTGTGGATCTGGCAGAAAGGCAGCTAGAATATTACCAAAACCAGCAGATGGTGTGCAACCACACCAATGTCAGCGAGAATGTGGTAAGCCAGCCAAGTCCTACCCTTTACTGTCACCCTCCCCCTGCAGCCAAAGTACTGGCGTTTGAATACAGGTGGGCTCAGTGGCTCATGCTGATCGCTACTGCCAGCTGATGTGCATTTGTGAAATGTTTCTTTAGGTGTGTTTTGTTTGTGTTTTAAACTTCCACTTTACACGAGGGAAAGGAGCAGATAGCATAGGAGCAGCAGTAGCCAAAGGTGGTTAAGGGAGAATGGAGAGTAATGAAATATTTGATACTTAAATTTTTTCCAGCTTTGCCTATTGCTGCTGTTTCCTTTGCTGTGAACACTTTTTTTAATGTGACTTGGCAGTCTTTTTGGGTTGCCTAAAATTTCCTATCTTCAGGAAAGGCATAGATCCCTATAGGTGATATATCAGCTTCCTGGCAAATCATCTTGCTTTTAGTAGTTACCTATCATGGGACTCTTAGAAATAGTGAATGGATTCCCACAGGCCTGTACCCCATGGATTAGAAATCCAAGAATGTTACTTTTTAAAATACATTATTTCTTTAAAAGCCCTCATTTTAAATACCTAAACCCAGTATTTTCCTACAATGCTTTACATTTATATGACAAGTTTTAGGCACAAGACTTCCACGGAACATTTCAATTTAATTGAATACCCTATGCTGCCTGTACTAAGTAGTTGCTTACCGTGGGATGTGAGAAGAAGGCATTTGATCATGCACAGCACTGAACAGATATGCAGTGGTGGAAAGGAAAGGTTCCCAGAGCTACTTGGAAGACAACAAGTTTTAGGTAAGACCTGAATAAATGTAGATGAGCTGAAACCCAGTGCAGGCATCTCAAACTGTATCTGTGAGAAGATTATGGGGCACCAGTCAGATGGGCCTCGATATTAAATCATCTCCCTTTCTCTGGATGTATTTATCATGATGCCAGGCTCAGTAGTTTCCCTTGGGGAGGGCTGTAATTTTTAAGGCACCTGCCCTGCTTTCTGAGTAACTTCAGCATTCCTCTAAGGTCATCCATCCAAATATTGACCATCCTGACCTTCAGGAGGTACAGGAAAGTATACCATGAGATGGCTCCAGACTCCAACTAAGAAAGATGACAAGCAAAGTCAGGCTAGGTAAAAAAAAACATCTGCAAAGTGTGGACAGTACCAGGGACAGAAAGAACATTTACAAGAACATAATAATTTTCAGATGCCAGATTTGACTTGCTTGTCTCAGTGACTTCGTTACATGATATTCAAAGGCTCAGTGTAGAAGCTCTGATGAAAGCTCAATATAAAGAATTTTTAGTATTAAAATCGATTTAAACTTAGCTGGCATTAAACACCTCCTTTTCTGACACCCACCAAAAGAGGGACTAGACAGTGTTTCCACACTTTGAACCAAAATGCTGTAAAAAATGAAGCCATGCAAATTTGGGCTGGCATTGAAGCTATGCTGACTCTAGTTGGTCTCAGGATTTGCAGGAGTGGGAGAGAAATGCTAGTGTCCTCGCCCTCCACCCTTCAGTGCAAATCTGGCAGAGCCAAGGGTTTGTAGCTGGACTTTCCTGGCCACTTGTGTAAAGGAAATGTATCACTGAAAAATTAAAGGATTTGAGAAAAAGTTAATTTCATATAGTTTATTCAGCCACTGCCCTTTATTAATTATCTTGAACACAGTAATTACTTTTCATGGTATCCATACTGTTTAATCTCATGTGAAAAATCTTTGTTCAGCCCACACTTCTTTAGCAATTTACTTTGATTATAGTTTCAATAAAAATAATGGGAAAAATCCAACCACTAACAATTCACACATTATTATTTTTAAAAACACATTCATAAGATGGAAGAGTAATAATCTGTAAAAGAGGCAGCTTTTTTTGTTTCTTTGAATGTTCTAGTTTTAACAGCATGTGAGAATGGAAATACAGTTTTAAAGATTGTGTATATTAAATAATTGATTGTTAATTAATTGTATATTAATTACTTGAAAATGTAATAGTAATAACCTGGTTTTGTTTTCTTTTCAGTTTACAGACATTTCATTAAATAAGAAACCCAGATGCCTGTATGTATATCTCCCTTTTTTTTTTACTTAAATACACTAAGTTGACATGCTTGCATTTCTGTTTTTACATTTTACCTTATAGGTTGGGACCTGCATGCGGTCTATATTTATGTCACGTAATTGAGGAAAAACAGATTTCTGTTAAAACTAAACTAAAATCAGATATTCTCTGAAGAAAATAAAGGATGCTGATTTTCTGTTAAACAAATTACTCCTTCCTGCTGACTATAATAGCCGATTGTGAAGCTACAGAAGCTCAATCTCTTTGGCAAACACAGTTCAATTTTCAGTTGAAAATGTCTTTTAACATTCTATAGGTAGGAGAGAGACAGTTGTTATTTCCTAACTGACAGTAACAATCATGAAAGGAAACAAGTGCCTTGACAAAGCATAGGCACTAAAAATCTCAGCTTACTCAAGCAGCTGTCCTGGGAGCAGCAGAACTAATTGGGGCTGGTCTCCCATGTCTTTGTGACTTGGTCATGAGTCCCAGCAGGTGGTTTGGAGCATCATGTGCTGCTTGGCCAAGTTGACAGACAGTGCACCCTTCTTCAGGGCAGCCTTTCCTTGTGGGGACACCAGTTTAGGACTTTTTCCCATTACATCACCACAAATCACTCTCCATAACACAACAGATTAGGAATATTGGTGAGTAGAAGTTCAGACTCTTGCAGTCACATACGTTGTGGAGCTGCTGCTTTCAGTGAAAAAGCCTTTCCAACATCTGGAGCTGGCAGCTTTGCATTTTACATGCAGTGACTTGCGTCTTCCTCCATCTTGATTACTTTCTTACTTTGACTGTGAAATGGGGACAAACATCCATCCTTCTCTACCATAAAGTCGTTGAATTTAAATACGGTTTAGCCCTTTTAGGTAGACCTTCAGATCATATTGACCTTGACCTGGTTTTAATAGCTTCATTCAGTGCAGCAGAGGACCGCCTAATATCACCTGCAATAATGCCTATGTATGCTTTGGGAATAAATGATGTAGCTTCTTCACCATAACAACATTTGAGAAAAACAGAATACTGCATCTTTAAACAGCAACTAAGTAATGGACTGTAAAAAACAGTACCCAAGAACTGATGGTAAACTGAAGTGGCCAACACTTGTGCATATACATAGGTCATTCCTAACCCCCAGCAAGTGATCAGAGCCCAGGCCTGCACCAGGCCAGGATGACACAGTGCTTGCAAGCTCCAGCTTGGACCTGCACAGCATTTCATCCCCCTAAACCTCCCCCCACTGAAATCTTTTTAGCAAAACTGCTAACCAGGTAATGCTGTTACATAGGTAAGACTTAGTTCCTACAATGTGAGATGGTACCCACTGCCTCCTACCAATAAATACAGACTTCCATGACATCCTTCTCATCTTCCTAAAGAGCAGGAGAGGCTTTACACTGTACACACGTGAGTAACCACAGCTTTTTCCAAAACTGACCTTGTCAAGGGTGCAATATGATTTAACTCCCAGAAGAAGTAATACTATAGATACATGCTTTTCAGAAATAACAGGCTATGGAAAATAGCCCTATGGGATCCCTTAAGAGGTTGACTTGTACATCAGCACACCTGCTCTTCTCTTCAGTCACAGGAGCTGGGTAGACATGAGCTGGTGCTTTATGTTCATATTTCTGCTGTTACACTACATGTATCTACTGTAAAACATTTCAAGATTGAAAGGACGTTAATGTTAAAAATTAAATGTTAGAAAGGATGATAATGATCTTAGCTAAACTGTGGAACCTGTTTAGATGTAATATTTCAGAGCAGAGTGCATGGTTCAACCTTTGCAGCACTGAGCACTTTGCTGTCACTCCACCTAAGCTCACCAATTCCTGCAAATCTTGCTGGGCTTGAACCATCACAGAGAGAAAAAGAATTCAGCTCACTTTGGCCTTTAAGCTTTCATGGCCTTCTTCCCACCAGTTTTTGTGTTCCCCTTTCTTCTTCTCCCAGTTTAAATCAAAGCCTAAAAGGGAAGCTAGAGTTTCCCTGGATGGGTGGTCAGAACAAAGGCAGAGCATGGAGTTTCCTGAGCTATTGGCCATTTGAAGCAGCATCTCCCAGGGTGCTGTCCAGGGCAGCACTACAGAGATTCCACAAAGTCTCTACAGTTCCTCAATCTACTTTCTACTCTTACTGGTGCTATGTGGTCTTCCGAAGACCAAGGGGTATTCATTCTTTGCAGAACTTTGATGTGAGCATGTGCATCTTTAAAATCCCTGCAGACCGTGAAGTCTAGACCTCAGTAAGGTCTCAGCACTCCAAAATCAGCAGAATGCTGATCAAAATAAAACTGTAGGTGAACACACATGAAGAGTGGACTAATAACACGTGTAGGGGTTATTTTACTGAGGAATGCTTTTGAATACTGAGAAATGTAATTCATCTCAACAGAGTTAAAAACTCTGTTTTTAACATGCAGCCTCATTCTGTAAAACAAGAGTATATATTCAAAAATGGAAGTGTTTGGGATATTTTGGGGACCTATCAGTTTGCAAGACTGAGTAATAGTTATTAATAATAACTATTAATAGTTACAGTTATAATTAATATATTATTTAATTAACAATAGTTATAATTGATAGTTATTAATAATGAATTATTATTAATTTCAGGAGCCGAGGAAGCCAACATGCTTCATATAATATCCCTGATGCAAAGCCACATTCCTTTCAAAAAGGAAGGATCTTGTTGAAAAAAACAAAGGACGAAAAAGCCAGCTTGCAGCCAGTGAAATGCTTCTATGAATCTGTTGATTGCCCAAGAGAAATATGGAGAGCACAGAAGAAGGGTGAATCAGTCTGCTGTGCCAGGAAAGCGAGTGCAAAATCAAAAATGGGTAAAAAGGCCAAACCGCTATAGGAACGGTGAGCAATATACAGCAACATAGGAACTTGGCTTCAACACAGCAAATATTGAATGAAGTTAGTCATCCTACTTTTTCCTATCCATCTGGCCATGCCAAAACATATCAGATATAATATACAGAAATATATACACATGGAAGTTTTATATTATTTAGTTGCACCATTCCCTCTTTGGGCACTATAAAAAAAGTGACATTTTATTCAGTTGATATGGAGGTTTTCCTATTCCTTTATGTATTTATTCATTTATTTAGTCACTTACAGAGCTTACTTCAAATGACTGCAGTTATCTTGCTGGGCAGTACTGTGTGTTTAATTGTTTTAGTGGCAACATGTGGCCTGGTAATTTATTTTCCATTTGTGTTATTCCTGAAGTTCAGAGGAATCCGTTTAATTGGCACATAAATACTCAATCTTTCAGCATAGGTAGGTGTAAGATCAGTGTATAAAAGACCTACTTAGATGCAAAAGACCTACTCAAAGTTGTAGGAGTTGTTGAAGGCTGTTTACAGCAGTAGATTGCTGATTGCTACCCTGAGTTTTTGGCTATAAGCACATTTCCATCTTTTATTAAATACATTAAACTACTTGATTCTGCCAGCAGCCACATTGTCTATTGGTATAAGTTTGGGCTCCTTTGAGGTGTCCCTTAGCAAGGAGACCAAAAGCTGCCCTGACAAGCACAAGCCAAATTGGGCCAGAGGAGGAATGTCAGTGCCAAGTGCCAGCAGCAGGTTATCTGCAGTGGTACAGCAAGTGACAGGCTAAAGCAGTGTGTTACTGCATGGCATTGTGTTCAATGTCTCTGTTTGGTCTCAGGCATTAGAGGCCCAAATAACCATGATTATAACCCAAATCCTTCACATTTTTATCTCTGAAAATTCTTTAGAGGGCTGAGAGATTACTGACTTTGAACCCAAGTGCAAGGCGGTTAGAGATGACTGCAGAGCAGGAATGTATATGTTTACACTGGTTTGTGCCAATTAAAAGGATCCTTATTTATCAGAGAATCTATTTATCAAGATGATTTTTTAAGTGTACAGTTTTTTGGTAACATGAATCCTCATGTCATGTTTACAGATACAAACATCCTGATGATGTTACTGATGAGATTTGTTTTCTCAAGAAGTAGAAAAGATAGGTGAGACAGGTCTATGTGATTTATTTTTGAAACACTCATAACAGATGTAAATTGTTTATGTGGAAGGTGATTTTTACAGTATGTGTACAAGGATTTGTGAAAAATGTTTTTCGTTTTTTATAATTATGTCTGTAAGCAGAACTGAGTATTAAAAGACAATGTATCACTATGATTACTGCTGCAATTAGCATCCGAGTTGCAATATTTTTAAAGCAGAAGATGACCAATCAGTCAGCTAGGATCAGGTAACTAGAGATATAGAACATTTGTCAGTGTACAGAGCTCCCAGAAAGTAGCAGAGAGAAGAGTGAGTATTATTCCTCACTTTTATTTTAAATAGTGTGTATGGAACAATCAGATACACTGTTTCAGTAGCAAGTCACAGTGTAAAACCAATTCAGGTATTTAGGTTGTAATGATATTTCAATATTTATTTAACTATGTCACAAGGCCACACTTGGCCTTATGCTAGGCATTGTGTGTGGTGAAAAGGAGTTGTTCATTGTGTTGCATGGGCTTGGGTCAGATTGTGAGTTACAACCTTTATAGGCAAGCTAAAACTGAAGCATTCTTGAGCTTTTTCTATTTCTTCCCACATCCTTCCATAAAACTGAAAAAAGGATCTTTTCTGAAGATAATAAAGGTGAACATTAGAAAGATAATAAAATAAAATATATTAATTTGTTTCTTTAGCCACTTGACACTGGAAGAATATTTTTATTTTTAAATGCCTATCTATTCTGTTAGTCACCAAAGTTAAGTGCAACTACTAGTTCACAAATGAGATGTTTATTTTATCATTTATCATGCCAACATCTTGACTGTAAGTTGTCCTTTTTGGGGGGAGGAAGAGGAAAAGAGTAAGAGAAGTTCCATGTTTTTAAACTTTTCAAAGCTTAATTTACCCTTACTTGCTAAACAAATGCCAGTTTAGTAATTAGAAAGAAATTGGATTGTACTGTAATCCCAGGTAAAAGCTTTTAGAATATAAACATTCTAATAATAAATATATATTTCTCAGTTACTTTGTCATTTAACTCTGTGAAATACATGGTTTCTTACAAAAACAGCACAGAAAAAACTAAGCAGCAGCAGCTTGGGCTTTGTTTTATTCCTCAGATAAAGCATGGCATTGAAGTCAGGTTGTGACCCTTCCCAGCAATTAACCTGCAGACATCTATTCCATCTTCCCTGCATAGCTCACATGTGTTACATGCTGCTCTCTTACTGTACTGGTGCTTGAAAATAATTTTTGAGGTGACCCACAGGGTCAGATAACCTGCCCAAAGCTGAGGGAGAGGGATAGAGGGAAGGGTCAGGCAGAGGAAATTAAGGGCAGAGGGGCTCCCAGGGAATGTCATTGAGGGTGTCTTCTCCACACAGTGCCAGTTGCAGAGCCATCATTTCATCAGGTATCTCCCTGGTTAGACTTTGAAAGAGAGGTTTTCCCATGGGGGATCCAGGTTCCTGTCTTATTAACAGACACAATATTTGGGAAGAATAGATACCTGCACCAGGCTGAGTGTAACCAGCTTGAGCTAGTGGGGACTTCTGAACTTGGGAAATGACAATTGTAAAATATTTTTTAAATCTGAAAGTGTTCTTACAAAGTTGACCACTCACCTTTGAAAATGAATTTCAAGCGGAGTTACCATGTTTTGCCCTTTTGGATGCTTTGAAGGCACCTTGATAGGTTGTATGCTCACATCAAAGTGAATTTCATTAGGACCTGGATGCCTCATTCCCATATACATCTTTAAAATCCTACCTCATTTATAACTAAAAATATCTCAGAGCAGTATATGTACTGGCTGGGCCTTTACAGGTGAGCTTTCTGCTTAAAACAAAATGTTCTGACAGACGTGTGACATTATAGACCAGGAAAACAAGACTAATTGAAACACAGACCTTTAATTAGAGCTAAACATAGAAAAAAACAATCACTTTGGGATGCTCCTGCCAGTTGAAGAGAATGTTTTCAGAGCACTTAATGACATCCGATTCCTCTCCCCAGCTCTGACTCAGCAGTAACAACAGCCTCTCCCTACCCAGAGAAGAGCTGAACACGTTTTGTTTCAATGAGAGTTACTGCAAATATTCAGTGAGATATTCATATTCAAAGAGATGGCCACCATTTAGAGCAGGTACTAGGTCAAACAAATTGTCACTTCTGTCATCCCTAATAATGCCACTGTGTCTTTCAAGCTACTTGAGCAACAATCCAGTTCTTCTTTCTCCTTATTCTGCGTCATCAGATAGTTGCCTTTATTTGTTCTTACCTCAGACTAATGCTGATTGTTTCCATACATCCTGATTGAAGTGGCTGAAGTGGACTATTTAGTACTCTCTGCAGTGAGCATGGGCATTATTTTTTATTGCTTTTTAGAAAAATTAATCCCAGAAATGATGTTACTACATGAAGCTCTTAAAAATAGATCCTGCTGCAACACAAACAAAATGTCCTTTCCCATTTTGTTGCTAATGACACCCTCTATCTAACCATGCTTTTTTATTCTGATCTCTTGAATTTTCATTTGTACATCTCTCCAAGGAGAAGGAAAAACAAGCAGCATAAATTAAATGCAGTTGTTGGTCTGACAACCTTTTCCCTTCTCACTGTCTCAGTCCTAGCATCTCACACTGCAAGCAGGTAAAAGTTGGCTTGAATTTTTTATAAAATCATTAAAAAAAGTATATTCAACAGATTTTGAGTTCTTTAGAATGTTATGAAAGAGGAGGAGACTCTACTGAGCTGAGAGGGAAAGAGGAAGAGAGATACTCCACTTCCTAGAGAAGTCACTTTCAAAGATAAATATGACAGGTTGGAGCAATTTAGTGTATGCTGGTATGAGATGAGGGAAAGTCAGAGTCACACATAAGGCAGCAGTGGAAGGATGGGGGTTGTCACTGGACATGAAATGATTCACATGGATGCAGCTTGAAGTGTGATGAAAGAAGAAGAATGTTTATTTGTTCTTTCAGTATTTATAGGTTTTCGACAATGATTGGAGAGACAGGTTACCACCTTCCCAACCACACTGGCCGTGAGAGACGTCCATCAAAAGGCATATCTTTAATGGAATGTATAAACACCTATGTTTATAGTTACTTTCCTGGGAAAGTGGCTAGAAATCATGAAAACAATATCGAAAGGCCTGATTCTCAGGGCGACAGGGGGCCTCATTACTGCCTGCTGTTTCTTAGGGCCTTTGACCTACAAAACGTCAGCATAGATTCAGCTTGACACATTCAGTCCTTAAATCATGTTTTACACACGTTTTGCAACCTAATTACTAATTTTGAAGTAGTAGACTTTAGCACTAAAGTTTCCAAAAAATTCCCCAAACTCTGTTCATAGTATTTGTTCAACCTATACATATTTGCCTTGCAGTGGGAACCTGTGCTCTAGGGGCTTGTCAGCAGTGAGGGATTTCTCTGTGCTCCCAGTCCCTGCTGTCTCCTGTCTCTGCTCAGTTACTGATGGCAGCTGGCTGAGTGCCAGCAGTTCTGCTGGCATCTCACCCCGCTGACTGCATGCTGGTTCCCATAGCAGTGCTTTCCTTTACAGAGCTTTGCTGATTCTTTTGTCTGTTTCCATACCCTAGTTACCTCCTTTCTACCAAATCAGTGCCTGTAACATGAGAGAAGGTTCATGCAGCAGCTGTGTTCCCTGAACTTCAGCCTGCTCATAAGTCACTGCATCACACCAGAGACACTTGCAAAATGCTTTCTGTGGCAGCCCATGGGCAGCTGCTGCACCGAGGTGGCACATTCCCACTTGTTCTGCTGGCTTTGCACTGCCCGGGTGACAAGTCTGCCTGTTGCTATTCGTGCTTCTCATGCCTGCTGGCAAACAGGTGGTGGACTGACTAAAGGTCAGAGCGGTGTGTTTCTTAGAGGATGTCAGCAGCCCATCACCCCTCAGCTGGAGAATGAGCTTGGCTGAGTGTCCTACACTTCAGAAGTATTTTTACAAAAAATGTTACACACATGGTACTTGGTCTTTGTTGAAGTACAGCTCAGGCAGGTGTCACAAACCTCTGCTTCTGAAGGCATTTCTTATCTCCCACCAGCCAGCACTGAGTGGGGTACTTTTGTAAGAGAGGGGAGGCTGAATACTGGTCATATGAACAGCACACATACATACTCAGGTGTGCACACTACGAGAGGGTCAAGAAAACAACCAAAAGAAGGTTGGTTTTGTTTTGTTTTAATATTATATCGCTATTAATGAGAAACCCCAAAAGAAACCTTTCAAAATAAAACTACCAACAAGCCAGTCCAGGAATTGCATATATACCTTTCCCTGAAAACCCCTTCTAGCATCACAGAACATTCTCATCTATAGCAAATTTCTAGAAAATTTTTCTCCTTGCAGAAAATAGTAGGCTCCGAAGATACTTTTAAACTTTTTTTCTCATGGGAAAAAAAAAAAAACCCAGGCAGGAAAGCAAGTATTTTATCATGAACTAGCATCACCCCAAATCCACAAGGTTTACACAAAGAAATGCACCAAGTAGTGAGCCCGTAATTGTTTCTCTGTCAGCCTGCCTTGCCTACCCACCCTTCTCAGATCCAGGCTGTAGAGGTGACTTCCAAAATATGGCATGGTTTAATTACCCTACCCTCTCAAGCTTTGTGCAGGCACCTGTTAAGAGGAGCACATGAAAGTCACTGGTTTTGCATACTGCCAAGGTATGTCATGGTGTTTGCACTGCCAAGCTATGCTGGGGCCACCCCCAGGCAGAAGTCCTTTGTGGGGATTAGCCTGAGGAACCAAGGGATGCATTAGGCATCTCCCAAAGCCTGGCAATGGCAGGCAAGGCAAATGGTATTTATGGGAGCTGAACCCATTTCTGTGTCAAGAGCCATGACTCTTCTGTGGCTGCCAGCATGGCTGTGCACTTCCCAAGCCTGCCTGTGTTCCCCACCAACCCCAAGAAGATTTGGGGTAATGGATCGCATGGGGATAGGTTGAAAAACTGTTGCACATAGCAGCTTTAAAACAGGGTTTAAAAGGAACAGAGAGACAAGCTCAAAGGGCCGTTTTTGAGCTTACACAAACTACCCTTCTCTGGTCCCACAGAGGCAGAAGAGTATCTCAGCCATGCTGGGAGCCAACCAGTGATGGGGCAGAGGGAGGCTCCTCTGCCAGCAAACACCTTGCCAACGTACTTCTTAAGGGCATTAAACATCTTATCCATTAGAAAATAATGGAATTAAAAGAATAATCACAACTAAATGAAAGAGCCATAACTCCCATTTTTAGTTAATTTAATTGCCACAGTGAGAACACTGAGCTGTCGGTGACAAATTTTATTGTGGTCCCTTTCTAAAGAAAAGGTTGTTGCCAGACATTATCCAGATTTCATCCATAGACTCCCCTCCAAGGGAGCAGTTGCGTGCAACAAGCAGAAGACAAAATCCTGAGTCCAAGTGAACAAGGAAGAACATTTGCCAGGGGAGAGGCCTAAGTTTAAGATTCCAGAAGCATGGGTGGGGAGAAGGAAAATGAAGATGCATCTGAGGTAGTTGAAACAGACAGGGCCTGTGTTAAAGAAAGGACCAGGACAGCAAAATAGTTTCTATTCCCATTTTTTTTCTCAGTGGCCTTCAGTAAGTTTTTAGTTTTGCTAGCCACTTTTTAATGAGGAAATGGAAGTGCCCCTGCCACCTCAATACCACGCAGTATCACCACCTTCATTTTCTAGGGTACACCACTGAAAGATTTAACTAGATTATCTTTTATTTTGGGGACAGAGGTTTCTATTCCTTTGATGTAAGTAGATTAAAACCTACACCCCAGATGCCCTTCTCCGTGGATTTCAGTATTGTTGCTGTGAATCTGAGTGTGAGTCTGGATGATATCAAAGGTCAGTTCACTTCCTAAGCAAAATGTAAATTAAATACTTCCATTTTAATTGTGTACACACTTGAGGCGTACAGGAGACAAAATATGTGAGTTAGCTTAGATGTCAGTTTTCAGTGGACAGAAATGATTCTCTGCACAGAAGAAAATC